ATATTCCCAGCTACTTGGGAGGCTGAGGAAAGAGAATTGCTTAAGCCCAAGAGTTTGAGGTTGCTATGAGTTGTGATGCCACAGCACTCTATTGAGTGGGTGCCAAGCCTGCCTTGTCTTTTTTTTTTTTTTTTTTTTAATCACTGCTAATATATGACTTAGGGTTGGGACAGTAACCTACCCTACTATGTTGTGTCTAGTGAGTATTGTTTTTAGTAGCCAGGACAACCAATGACACTTGGCTTTTTCCCAGATTTTTCTGTTCCTAGTGCCTAGCACTTTTAATCCTATACTCTATCCCATATACCAGCAGGTAGGAGTGAAGATGCTGAGCAAGAAGACACAGTCCTTATTCTTATAGGACTTAGAGCAGCGGCACTTAACCTGTGGGTCGCAACCCACAGGAACTGTATTAAAGGGCCGTAGCATTAGAAAGGTTGAGAACCACTGACTTAGAGTCTTATAGGACATCATAGTAGGTGCCCAAGGAAGTGAGAACTAAACGAAAGCCTGCCTTGTAAGCAACAGTCAGTTACAAGGGGCACAGGGGGAGGGAGAGCAGAGTCAGGTAGAGGGGAAAGCATGTGAGAAAGCTTGGAGGGGATAGAAAACAAGGCACATGTGAAGAGCTTAAACTGAGACTAGCAGAAGCACAGGACACAAGACTGATAGTAATGAGGATGAGGCCGGACAAGGAGGTGCTGGGTTGCTAAGGGCCTTGTGAGACATGCCAAGGAAACCGGTCTTCATTCTAACCTCAGTGGGAGACCATGAGCAAAGACAATAGATAGGAAGCACCCACAGCAGGGCCAGCCCACAGCAGCTGGCCAATAAACATTATTTCCTCTTCTTATCCCCAGAAGAATGATTAAAAAGGAGTGTTTATTTGGTTTTGATTTGCAACAGCATGTGGAATTTTCCCTAAGATAGGTTTATTTGTTCCTTTATTAGAGACAGAGTCTCACTCTGTTGCCCAGGCTAGAGTGCCATGGCATCAGCCTAGCTCACAGCACCTCAAACTCCTGGGTTCAAGCAATCCTTCTGCCTCAGCTTCCCCAAGTAACTGAGACCTCATGTACTGGCCACCACAACTGGCTAATTTTTCTA